CAGGGAGTTGAGCCACTCATAAAAAGGAGACGACGCATCTAGTCTTTTCTTGTCTTGGTTCTAAGCTTAGTCACTTCTCTGTACTTTTAGCTCACTCTTTCTCTTTCGAATCAAGACTAAAAAACAAAAAAATTGGCTGTCTAAATTACTTTGAGCCATCACTGCGTGTTTCGTGCATAAGCGAACACAAACAGACACATACGCATACAGAGTCACACACATTCACAGGCTTCGAAGTTGACATATCATTCTAACTAACTAAATCACTTTATACCTGATCAGAGTCAAGATATAGAGCATATATACCGCTTTTCAGGCATTTGCCGATGAGTTTTCTTGACTCGTTTGCTTAAATTTGGTTGCGATTATGATACCTCGCTCTGATGATGTTCGTCATATGACGGACGAAGGCTTAGCACCTTTTCACCGGAATGGAAGGAGATTACCTCTGAAACATTGTCACTATGAATGTTCCAGTAAAGCCAATCGACAGCTGGTCAAGAGGAATCAGTCATGGAAGTAAGCTCAAAGAGTCAGAAAATTTACCCGATCAATTGAAAAAGATTTGAACACAAGGTCAGAGACTGTGGTTCAGGGTAGTTTACTCTAGGCGTCTACTTAATTTGGAAAACGAGGTCAAACTAACCCTAAACATGCTGTGTCTATTTGACATTGCAATGATCTGTTTGGTGATGCTACTTATTGCTCGTATAGCATGATTTATTCTTTTGGATAGCGGACTCTTGTCTCTAGTTTATCTGTCTGTTTGTTTTCACCCATCATCCACCTTTTATTCCAAGTGTTATCCTCTTTCTAAATTGCTTTAGCCTGTACCTGTACTATATGATTGTTTTACCATTGACTTCTTTTCAGTTTCTCCCCATCATTATATATATTCTCATTTTTTGACATATATGATTATGCTCCTTGCTTGCGCATACTTATCTATGTATTTTTGATTAACTGAGACTATGGGACACGATCCTTAGTACCCGAAAGAGGTCAAAGCTAAACACATTTATATTTTCTTTCTTATTGCGTATATCCTTATAAATGGCTTACTTAAATTCAAATCAATAAAATATCTTGAATTAAAATAGCACATATTTTGTGACAGATAACTCATTTTGAGTTGCATTCTGTAGTACTGTTTCGCTTTTTCCTCATTTTATTTAAGATATCTCCTACCCTATCTTTTAAAACAATTCTTCTCCGGGATGCTTTTTCCCGCCTGAATGGGTACTAAATTGATTTGGGCTTTCTTACCATTTTTCATTTTCAGGCTTCCAGATCAGCTTATACGTTCGCTAATTGCCATAATCCAGTCTCTTTTAGGTTCGAATAGGCAGAAATCTTATTTCCTGGTTATTTTCTTGCACTGCTGATGCACCATTAAAAGCTGAGTTTGTTTTAGTTTGTGTATTTTTGCTTCTTTGTTCTGTCTAGTCAGCAGATTCTTACATGTCTTCTGTAAGTTCATTATGTGATCAAGATCCTGGATCCGGTGCCATATGAAGTCCTCTGATGGCATAAAAAATAAGAGTTTTTAGGCACTACAAGTCTGCCACTATTCATGGCTAAGAAAGAGAAATAAACAGCTAACGATATTCGGTGGATCCTTTAAGTTCCGATATTTTATGCTATACCTCATACTCCGAACTACTTCATTCTTGCGTATTGACACCAAATAAATTCCATAGCCTTCTATTCGCATCGTCATTTTTTATCCCTCTTTCATATTTGTATCTCGAAAACATGGCAGCGAACACGCTCCTTCATGCCTACCTCTGATTTTGCCAATTTGCTGACTTCGTTTTTGTCTGGCATGACCTCAAGATGTAGCCAATTAACTGCCGGTATTGGCAGATTCTACTTGATGCCGTCTTGTACGTCTCCCTTCTCAGCGCTTGTCGGTGACAGGCTTTCTCACTTGAACACCAGAACGGCTCGAAACGAGGATCAATATTTCTGTATAGCCTCGTTCATGTTGCTTTTGCTGTTTCCGCCATTTTTTTTTCTCTCTCCCCTTAAGCCTCGTATTCTTCTGTCTTAGCCAAGTTTTTCTATTTCGCATTCTTCTCCACTACTTCCCAGCCCAATGCATTCAGTTGGTTTGGCGGCCAGGCATGATTGACTCCTTTTAAACATAACTGGGAGAGATGTCTTTGAGAGGTCCTAGATTTGCACATTTGCCCATTCGCTCAAGCCTCACCTGCCCTTAAAACCGTTTTTACGCGTACACTATGTACTATCACTAAGTCGCTTGGATTAACATCTCGGTCGTATCCATCCTCTTGCCGAGTCCCCTACGCTTGGATATAACATAGACGATTGGCCCTACTGCCTAGGTAAAGCGAAACTTCAGATGTGAAATGCATGCTATTTTGCGCTTTCTTATCCTATTCCCCAAAGAATGCTTGATTGCTCATGCCTCAAAATGGCAATAACATGGTCATTCCTTCAATCAGATCCCCCTTGTTCGCCGGCGAATGATGGCTCCTCATAGTTGAGATACTCAAGTTATTCATTTTTCTGCAGTATCCGTACGTACGGCTTTTATCGGCTAAGTTGATCAAAGATGTCTGTTGCTTACAAAAAATGTCTTTTTACTCATTGCTAACCTTCCTTGTTGGCTAACAGACCACCAAATGGTAGCATTGTTATGGAAATTTCCATTTCGCATAAACGTGCATGGTGTAGGGGTTCGTCGATCGATCTCACCAGAAGACTACGGCCATTTTTCGTTGTACAGTAGCCTCTTGGCTTTGACACGACGTTCAAGTTGACCCAGTCCAGGAGACATCCTCTCTCGTTTCTGTTTAAAATTTACTGAGCTTTCGTTCATCATATGGCAACCATCAGAGCTGGGACTCATTCCTGCAAAGGTCTCAAGTTAATTTTAAGTCATATCCTGACCGGTGAGATTGGCATACGAATCTTTTCATGCACTTTGCTACTAAATGGAAGTCTCTATAACAATGTTAGCTTTGTAGATTCATCAAAACCCGCTTACTCTTTCTATATAAAAATGGTAACAATAGGCCTCTTTACTACCTAATGAAACTTATTTTCATTTTTAGGTTGTTATTTTGCTTCTGGATATTGTGCTTATTTTCACAATTTACCATTTCGTTTGAATGCAATTATATACCTTTGCCTAAGAGCAGTAGTTGTATAGTAAACTGGCAATCCAACTTACTTTGATATATGTTGCATTACTAGAACGTTTTTGTATACATCATGTTACATCCCCATAGGTCATTATTTCCCTCTCCTAGACTTATCCTAACCCTGCCTCCTTGATAACAATGTCCTTTATGCAGGTGTTGCCATGGGGATAGCAGGCAGCGACGTCAGTAAACAGGCGGCTGATATGATTCTCCTTGATGACAACTTCGCCTCCATCGTAACTGGCGTCGAAGAAGGGCGTATCATCTTTGACAATTTGAAAAAGTCAATCGCTTACACATTAACCTCGAACATCCCGGAGATAACACCCTTCCTTGTCTTCATTCTCGCCGATGTCCCATTGCCCTTGGGCACCATTACGATCCTATGCATCGACTTGGGTACGGATATGGTGAGTATCTCCTTTTCTATTTTTCTCTTTCTTGGAGCATTTAGCCTACTACGAGCCGATCGCTAACCCCTAAGATTCAATCTTCTGTATAGAATGTTTTCTACGCTCAGTATGGCTTATCTTTATCAATCTTTAACTTCACTTTTTCTTTTTATATTATGTATCATCCTTTGTTGTTATTTTACGGCCTTCTGCTCTTTCTCTTCCTTCATTTTCTTGTTTGCATACCGATATACAAATGGACCCTTTTACTTTTTTTTCTTTCATGCATTTATGTCCATCTTTATATAATTCTCATTTTCTTTATTCTTGACTACCTATAAACTCTCTTTTACCCATTTTATTTTCCCTGCACTGCCACATTCAATTAGATTCCTGCCATCTCTCTAGCCTACGAAGAAGCTGAATCGGACATTATGAAGCGGCTTCCACGCGATCCCATGCGTGACAAGTTGGTTAACGAACGTCTTATCTCAATGGCCTATGGTCAAATTGGTATGATTCAGGCTGCTGGTGGTTTCTTCGTCTACTTTGTTATCATGGCTGAGAATGGTTTCTGGCCCCGTCGATTGCTAGGAATCCGCAAGGAATGGGATTCGGAAGCCATTAATGATCTGGCCGATTCGTATGGACAAGAATGGGTTAGTATTGCTACCTCACTAATCTGAAATAATGCAAAACACTAGTTTTTGCCCAAAACTGCCACTCAACACCATGATCTGTCCTCACTTTGCTGGGTCTTTGGCCAGTGTATAGTCGGAACTGTTTGTTAACGGCTTAGTAGCTGATATTACCAATACAATCATTTTAGATTTATTGATAAAACTCTCTGAGGGGCGCAGGTTGAAGGATCTTATCTAGTTTGGGTTATTTACCAGGGCATATTATGACTTTTAAAATATTTATGACCACTGGTCAAAGCGTGATGTTTGAGTTGATTTATATTTATTTCTTTAAGTGCAACTCTAATTCTCACTTATGTTAAAGTCTTTTACCTTTGTTTCTTTCGTAGCCTGTGTCAGGATTGATCGAGTTAAGATTGCTAAGCTATCAGAGCCTGGATTCTCTCGTTAGCTATTTACTCTTGCTAATACTGCACCTGCATCTGACTCGTTTCTGTCTAACAGCTAAACTGTTTTATTCTCTGCATATTTTTGGGGTTCTTGCATGCTTCCTGGTGCTTTCAGTCGCCATGCTTCAGCATTGATTTGGGTATTAGTAGAGAAAGTCAGCATCTATGAGGCCTTAGTTTGGACATTAGGATACTGTGGAAATCGGACTCAGTTTTTATCCAGCAGCAGTAAATCATTTTGTTACTTTTCACACCTCGTTTTTTGCTAATCTTTTTACTAGTCTTGATGTTAAGCTGACCTTGTATGATCTGGAAGTTGCCTTTAATCAGAAAATTTTCGTAATTAAAAAGTGGCTGATTACTCAAGCAGCATTTAGCTTGAGACATGGTTTTAATTCTTTACACCTTGAAGATATTCCTATCCTGCATTATGAGAGGTGTTAGCTCATTGTCTAATCTGATTTTATCCAAGACATGATGCAGGAACTCAGCCCTCATGATAGTATTAAGTGGGCAATTGTTTCATTCCACTCCATTCTTGCCTCAGGTGCCAACATGGAAAACTCGGGTCAGTCCACAAATTCGATTGGATAGACTCAAAAAGCATCCCGGTTTACTGAATCCACGGCTTTTTCTTTTCTAGAAGGGCTCCAAGGAAGAGATGTTTCTGTTTATATATTTTTTTAGTTTCGTAAGAGGACTGTGGCCGTAGTTAAGGCCATACTATCTGGATTTTCAGACTTTCGATCTTTCACTTCCTGTCTTTGATATGTATCGATCCTATGATCCATCACTTCGCTCGACAATCACATTGAACTTCCTAGTGAATCTTGGCTGCTCATCAGAATAAACTTCCCAATTGGATGCTTTTTACATGTATGATGGAAAGATGAATTTCGTAGAATCTCGACACAACTTCAATTCATTGGAGTTTCTTATTCTGTAAGAAAGATTTGGGGAGGCATTAACGGTATAGTTTATCAAAGAATAATTCCTCACTTTCGTGATATCTATCACAAAGCAGAGGAAAGTTCAACACAGATTCATTATGGTTGTAGATTGGTGTGACGAGGACTCATCCATACAAATCAACAGTCATAACTCCAAGGCGGGAGAGTCCAATACTGGAATTCTTCAACTTTTCATACGTAATGAAAGGTCTAATGACACGAAATGATCATTATTTTTTGCAGGAATCATGTGGATCGATACATCTATTTCACTTTTACAATATCTCGAAATGCCAGCGTTTAATTCAATCATCACCTTGATAAGTTCAGTCGTCATTAAGCCGCAACCATCATTCTCGCACTAATGCATACATACTTGCAGAAAGACAAATGCGGAAGTACACATTTTCCTGTTATCCAATTTTACCATTACAGGTTAATATGCCTCGATTAGATTAAAGTGGATCTTATTAATATTCTTCTATTTTAATTTTAGTTGTATCTGCTTTTGCATTTCTTCTATCCTTGATGTGAAGACTAGTCTGATATGACTAGTTCAATCGAAACTTTTCGTTTTGTAGAGTTTATTTATAATTTTGATCGCCAAACTATAGCGACAAGATTTGACTGAGTTAGCTGAACCATCTTTTCTCAAGAGGTCTGATTAATTGGATTGTATTATTGAGGGGAATGCTGCTATTTTAGAAAAAGAGTGCTTCAAGTTGCTGCTAACCCTGAATATATCTCGACAAACGAACAAACAAATCTGAGTATAATGCTGTGGCCTTGGCCAGTTTTGTTACGTTTATAG